TCAAGTGATAATACTAGATGGTGGCTATGATAGTGTGATTTTGATTTATCGGTTTACTGATTTATTTCAATTTATACAGCATCCAAAATAATACAACTATTTTGCAGAAAATTTAAATTATTTATTACTAACATTGTACTATATAGCTAATGCAACTGGATGAGTTCTTTGTGTAGTCCAATTTATAAACTTCCCTTTTTTTCAAGTTTGCTCTATCTCAATTTCTATTACATTGCTTTTAACTTTTTCTTATTTTTTAAATTCTTATCAAGTTCCATTGTATTAGCATAAGATTTCCATAAAGTTTTATGACAGCAAGACACACTCTCAATTTTTGCCATACTTGTCTCCAGTTGTAGATAAAAGATTTGAGACCAAATTCATGAGACCAACTCTCCAGATACCTTGCTCACTCTCAAATGCTTATAACTGGAGACAGGTATGGCAAAAGTTGAAACGAGTGTGCCTTGCTTCCATAAAACGTTGGTTAAAGCTTAACTTTTATCTTCAAGGCCTAGCATCATTAATTCTCCAGGTCAGCTTTCAGTCTACTACCTGGATTAAGCCTGTTGAATCTAAACTTCTAAATCTGGGTCTCTCTCCTCCTTGGTTCTTAAGATCAAATTTGATAAGGCAAAACAAACCTTGAAGCAAAGAATAAAAGATGGGGAGCAATAGGCAGACTAGAGAAGGCCCCAGCCTTTGTCATTAGCATACAAGAAATATATTGTCACTGCTGCCGACTAACTGCACAACTGCACAAGCACCAGCCATTGGAAAGCTTTCTTTTGCTCAATCATGCTCTTTCCTCTTAATATTGGATGGCAAATTTTAAAAAGGACTATTGGCAGGACCATTGCCCCTGTGATTTTGAAGAGCAGAAATCACAGAACATTTTCTTCTTCGTTGCTCCTTGTACACAGAACCTGATTTATCCTCCCTCTGACTAGCAGATATCATGGTAGCTCAGACTAAGCCTATGCCAGGATGCTGCTCATAGATGAGCTGCATCTTATTACAGTGCATGTGGCTAGCTTTTGTGCAGCAGCAAGAACAGCTGCCAGACCTTGATGGGCCAAGTTCCCATGGATAGATGTGTGTTATGTAATCTTAGATATTATCTTTTAAAAGTAATGTTACATGTTATCATGTTTTACTTAAATTTTAGATACCATCACATTTTGTAATTTTAGGTGCTATCATATTTCATATAATTTTAGAGACTACTTTATAACTTAGACATAACTTGCTCCTTTTAGACATCACTTATGGATTCTCATCATTTTATAAATATATTTTAACTTTGACTTAGATTTTATTTACTACTTATTAAGATAGATTTATAAGGGCTCACAAAGCACTCTTTGACATATTGCTTGTATTGGTCTAATATTGTAATAAACTGACTGATACATGGTTACTGAGAAGAAAGTTCTATTGATTTTTTTTCCACAAATAAAACTAAATACAATAGGTTCCAACTAAATTACTCACAATAAATCAAAATACTAATGTCCTGCACACTGCTTGCTTCCTGAGACAAAGTTATAAAGATTACCTTCTCATTCCAGTTCTGCCTTTCTGAACGGATGTTTATTCATCAGTGATGGAATAGCATTAACAACATTCATACGTAAGGTATGAAATAATAAATAATAGATTTAAATAAATAAATAGTATGAATTAAGGCTTGAACCTTGAGTTTTGCCTTGCCACAGATTCAGGAAAACAGTTGGTAGCTGGATTTCCTACTGGTTGGCAATGTTGGGTGGGAGGGAAAAAGACAGCAGGAAATCCATCAATTGGTATAGCCTGAAATTGCCAGATATTACATTGTGTGAATGTAGCAGCACTGTCCAGCTTCATTGCTGAGACTGTCAGCAGAAGTAGGCTGTAGGCACTGTGGGCATATGCTGCTAATTTATGTACATAAGGAAAGTTCATTAATTGGTCTCTCTACAGGGTATACTCAAGAAAGTCAAGATGTCATTCCATAGAGAGTAAGAAAGACTCAGGCAGATACCTCCTAATTCACATGAATTAGGGGCAAGGAAATAAAGCATAATCAGACTTCAAGATTCTGTTATGATAACTAATATTAATAAAAAGAGTTTTAGCTTTCAGTTCAGTTGTTTTTGTTTTTGTTTTGGTCTGGCTTGTATCTCATTTTTTGTGGGGAAAATAGGAAGAGGAACATGTGTTGGGTTATGTTCACCATCCTGAGTTATTTGTAAAAATGATAAAGGCAGGATAGAAAAAAGTAAAATAGTGGGCTGGCACAGTCACAATGATACAGACAAACCTTTGATGAGGCAATAATATTTTAAATAGGATACTCTACAATATTCATTACCATTATGAGTATTTCTAAGTCCCTACATTAAATTAATATTAATTATTAATAACACGGTGACTGTTTATCTATTTTGATGAGAATCAGAAAAGAAATTTCATAGTTTCATAAAGTTTTTTTTAATTATTGTGTTTGTTTGTATTTGTCTTGGAAATGCTTGCTAGTGTCTACAGAAAGCAGATTCAGAACTGGGAAGTTTCTTTGCATTCTGCTTTACTGTGTTTGTTTACATGTGCTTTGAGATTGCAGAAGCCTATCTCAGAGATCCAAAGAATTGACTCTGAAGTTTCACAGAATGGAATCACATTTACCACCAGTACTCACATGCTACCAGTGGAAAATAGCCTGGTATCACTAGCCATTACCAAGACAGAAGACAGAGGGAACCAGGCCTCTGACCCAAAAGTGAGAGCTGCCCATTACATAGTATGGGTGGGGGGAAAAAGGACTAAAATGCCCAGCTTTGAAACCATTTTTGATGCACAGAACTGAAGTGGAATCTCTTTGTTATGGCTTATTTTGTCTGCAGTAAAATTCATTATCAGAAGTCCTTGGATTCTTGAGCACCTATTTAATTATTTCCAAGCCAACTTAGACTTAAATAAGGAGCTTTTCCAGTGCTCCTGCTCAGAACAATTCTTCCTTTGTATTTTTAGCCTGCCAGCCATGGTATTTTTGAACAAGGATCAAATGCTCTTTTGAAAAAGGACCAAACTCATGCTCAAAGGTAGTTTGACAAGTTAAAAAATGTGGAGGGTGGCAGAGAGTTAAATGGGGAATCGCAGAAAGCAAGCAGAGATGGCAACACGGACAGCGAGCAACCAAGAAGTCCAGTTGACTGGCAGATCCAGAAATAGCTCTGGGTAGCCATGGGGAGCACATGGGTTAGAACCGACTTTCAGTACTGCACAAATGTAGTGATAGTGTCACCAAAGTTGGAATGAAGAAGGTAAAATTGTACAGTTCCCCCAAGGCACATAAGTAACTAGAATTCAGTGCATGAATAGCCAGCTGTATAATTAGGGTCCCAGGCTTGTTAACCAGACAGGAGGATGTTCTACTACTTGTACACAAATCCAAAGAATAAAAGTAGTAAAAAAAAATGGAAAATGCTGGTCAGAAACCGATGTTCCTACAAAGCAGAAGTCTGCTCTCTCTTACTGTCAAAGTGAAGATAGGAAGCTAGGTTAGGGAGGAGACAATTGAAATTAAATATGTGCCGTGGTAGCATGATCCAAAAATCATGATTTATACACTTGCATCAAATGTCGCATGAAGTTTAATCACAACATGATTGTGTGTGTCATCATTTTGATGAAGTCTTGATTTGCTGCAGACAGCTATAATGCCGTGAGGATGTGCCCTAATAAAGCAATATTTAAAACATCTACCATGGTTAAGGTCAAATGAGGAAGATCCTAGAGAAGGCTTTTTAAAATTTATTTTTCTTTTTAAAATAACAGGAAAAAAATCCCAAAAGAAACAAGACACAAACGTATATATATTAGAAAAAAATACATAACAAGTGCTTAAAACTAAGTGAAAACTTATTCACTTATTTTTTGAGCCCTAGAGAATGCTTAAGACAGTTAACTCATTGTTCAGAATTCAGTTTATTCTTTGCTAATATACCTGCTGCATCAAACATCAATCTGGGCCACAAGCACAAATACTTAAGGCAAGGAAGGAACTTGACATAAAAATGGCCAAAATGACTTCTACAACTTCAGTAAAACTTTGGGGACAGTCTGTATTTTAACCTTATTCATTTACTCATTGTAATGGAGTTGCAGACAAGGTTAAAAAGTTTTAGATTTCTGTACCCAAAAAAACAAATCTAATCTTTTTTCATTTATAAGCTGTACTTACATTAATACTGGGAATTGAAGTCCACACATCTTAAAAGTTCAGAAGCACTGGTGTAGATCAATTGCTGAGTTGTATTGCAAGTTCTAAAGATTTTTAAAACACGGCTGGTCTATTCTAAAATACACTTATCTGAGTGTGCCAGAACAATATTATTGCATATCTATATAGCAGTGAAGTCCAGGAAGTTCAGTGGAACTTCTCTGCAACTAAATTTGTCTAAGACCGAAAGAAATAATATCTCATTCCCGTCCATTTGTTCATTCTGACTATGCCAGGGGTAGGCAACCTTGGCTCTTTTAGGACTGGCTCAGGAATTCTGGNGCCAAGGTTGCCTACCCGTGGATCAGCTTCAGCAAAAAAATAGTAGAGTTTCCTATCCTGAAACTACAATATTGTCAGTGTTTTTAATATATGATTACAATTATAGATCAACAAAGAAGAAGTCAAAGAAAAAGAAAGATATAAAGGAAACGTTTTGAGGTCGGACTCCGATTCCCCAAATTACCAAATCCGAAGAACGCGAGAGGAGGAGTCAGAGTACAACGCGGAAGAAGCGAGACCAGGCTTGTCTCCGAGCTAGGGCAGTGAAAACTCGATCGGCAGCTCAGTCTTGCTTTGCTTGGTACAGAAATTCAGAGGGGTAAATTAATTTAGCCTGGGAGTCGCGGTGGCAACGGGCGTGCCCTTCCTAACGAGCAGGATGTTACGGATCTGCTTGAGTCACTGCCTGCGAAAGACTTCCATTGTGAATTGCGGCGGTCGGTGGAGCCGGCGGGACCAGCGAGCCCGCTTTTCCGTCTCGGCTTGTCTCATGGAGCCTCGCCTCAGCTTTTCTCCCCCCGACCACAGCCTCTTCGATCAGCCGCTGGCCATCTCGGTGGAAGGGCTCCGGCCCGAGCAGGAGGTCGGCCTCCGCGCCTCGCTGGAGGATGAGAGAAGCGAGCGCTTCGAGTCGCGCGCCTTCTACCGAGCAGACGGCGAGGGCCGCCTGGATCTGCAGCGCTCGCCGGCGCTCGAGGGCGGGACCTTCTCCGGTTTGGAGCCGATGGGGCTGCTGTGGGCGCTGCAGCCGCTAAAGCCCCTCCGGCGCCTGGTGAAGCGCGACGTCGAGGTGCCCTTTCGCCTGGAGCTGGAGGTGTTGGAAAGGCAGGGAGCGTCTCTGCCGGGTGGCCTCTTGGCCAAGGGCTCCCACGAGCGGAGATTCCTGGGCGACGGGGTGAAGAGAATCCCGGTGCGGGACGGGAGCATCCGGGCCACTCTGTTCCAGCCTCCCGGTAAACAGCAGGGCCCTTCCTGAAGAAAATCACCCTGTTAATACACTCATGTCTCGCAGGATCAGTCAAGAGCGATTTCAAGAGCGATTTCAGCGGTTTTGGGCTTTTCACAGTCACCTTGAATTGAGCTATAAGTAATCAGACCTGCTGAACCTGTTGCGATTCTGTGCGTTGTGCAAACTCAGTCTGGTTGTGATTAATGTTCATATATTTACCCAATGTTTACAGAACATACTAAATCACAACCTGAATGCAACCATATTTTATCCTAGTGTGTTATATGAATTCCGTAAATAAAATTGAATTAGGCGTAATTACTATTTTTAGTATGCCTTCAAGCCAATTTTAGCTCTAAGTGATTGCGTGGCCCTGGACTAATCCCTGCAGTTTCTGGACACCATTGTTGGAAATGGCTTCTTTTGCCTTCTTCCTAGGGTTGAGAGAGAGTGACTGGCCCGAGGTCACCAAGCTGGCTGTGTTCCCAAGAGAGGCTTAGAAAACAGAGTCCCCCAGTTAGTACTCTGGTGTCTTCAACCTCTACAGCAAATTGGCTCTATGATTTCTGAAAATAAGATCAGTGGAATACACCATAATTATATTGGACCTGAGATCTGTAATTTAGACACAGGCAATGCATTCTGCACACCCAGCCTTTATGTTCTCTGTATTAAATGGGTGATTTAATAGAGGATTATTAACTACTACTGACTAGGTTTCATTACATGCTTAGCCATAGATTCTGATTTCCAAACCACAGTGACTAGCTTCATGTGACAGAATAAGCGAAAACAAAAAACCATGTGGTAGCTTGGCAGATTGTATGAATAAAGCCATGTATATTTTTTTTTTGCTTTATCTTTGATGCAGGACTTTATTTAAAATATGCTAAGTTCTTAAGAAATATAACTAAAAACAACTGCTCTATTTTATATCTCTGGCAGGTAAAGGCCCCTTTCCAGGTATCATTCAGATACCTGGAACTGGAGGAGGGATTCCAGAAAGTTCAGCATGTCTGATGGCCAACCATGGCTTTGCCGTATTAGCTTTGGCCTATTATGGGTATGAAGATCTTCCTAAGGACATGAAGGAATTTCATCTGGAGTACTTTGAAGAAGCTGTCAATTATATGCTAAAACACCCAGTGGTAGGTTGTTATATTCATGGCCTTTGCAAAAAGATTTAGCTGAGATCTCAGTTTTTTAGCTGCAGAAATGTATTCAATCAACTGGGGTCAGACTCAGCTCTGACCCCAGAGAAGATGACTGTCAAAGGGAAAATTGGAGCAGGGAGTACTGTGTATACTGCCATGTTATCCTAGATCAGAGATGGGCAATTAATTTTCCCAAGGGGCCATAAGGAGAAACTGGGACTGTTGTGAAGGATCACCACCCACATATCCCCCATTACCACCCCACCTGCTGTCCTGCTATTGCCAATTGGGACAGTAAAAGGATGGCCCATGGACTGTAAAATGGCCAGGTCTGTCCTAGATAATCCAACCAGTAAATAAATACATTTTCAAGAAGTCCTTGTTTAATGACTGATACATTTAGCAACCATTTGCAGTTACTATGGTGATGAAAAAGCAATTAATCCTGGCATTTATGACCTTTGCAGTTTTATAAAGCAAAGGAAAACTGAAGTAAGATCATAAGACAACAGGTTTCACTTAGCAATCATTTTGATTAACAACTAAGTTATTCCTCCTCCTGACTTTTCATAAGAGCCTTAAGACATGGCTCTGCCAAATGATGTAGGGACCCAATGGGGGAGCTTCATGCTGGGGGTAGTTGACTAATTAAAAGGTAATCCCCCCTCCCCTGCTCCTGTGTATCTGGCTTCCTCCTGCGCTATCTTGTGTTATTTTACCTGCTTTTATATCTGATGATTTAAATGTTTTTATGCTGTAGGCCATCCAGAGTCGTTGGACACGAGATGAGTGGCAAATAAATTTCTAAATAAATAAAATAGTGTTCTCTAAATCAGAACTTCCAATATATAAATATATAACGGCCCTGCCTGAGCTGGCTGACGTGATAGCCGGGGTGGCGGTTGAGACCCCTAGACTTATAGTTATGGGGGATCTCAACCTGCCATCGGCGGGCGAAACGTCAGCGGTGGCTCGGGAGTTCTTGGCCTCCATGA